CAACGAAAACAAGTCGCAACACAACAAAATTAGTACAACACAACGGAAACAAGTCGCAACACAACGAAATTAGCACAACACAATGGAAACAAGCTGCAACACAACGAAATTAGCTGCAACACTACCAAATTAGCACAACACAACAAAATTAGACGTACGCGTTGAGTTGTGGCAATTTTGTTGTGTTATGGAGATTTCGTTGTGTGGTGCACTACTGGGCCACCGTATATATACAATGCTACTAAATGATTACCATATTTATATATAAAGCAAGACTATCATGGCAAAATACTTCAAAGCCAAGTTGGAACATTTTGGGGGTGTTTTTGTCAGTGTTAACAGTTTACTGTTAAAGGACAACAGTGTTCCTCCTCTCAGGTGGTGATCTGGTGCTGTTGTCCGAAACGAAGAGTTTTCATGAATGAAGCTGAGGAGATGAATCCTCCCATGTACTTCAATCCAGACATCCCTATGTATTCAACACAAAGCACATTTGATACATCCAACGGCAAACAAGCGGTGCGATACATTTCACAACTCATTCTGATGCAACTTAGCTTGTATTTTGTTCCTATACAGTTTGGTCATGAAAGAAAGTGAAACTAGATTCTATAATAAAAGTGACTCCCTTAAATTTTCAAGACTTATAACCAAATTTTGAAAGAGAATGTGCTATACTGTATGAACAGAATTGACAAACTTGTGCTTTGATGCTCATTATTTGCTTTTTATTTTATTGTTGCTAAATATAAATCTATTTAAAATAGTTAATTAAAATAAAGCTGACATAAAATATAATTATTAGATGACTTAAAATATTAGATAACTTAAAAATGTAAACAAAAATTAGTTGCATTGACAAGTTAAAGTATTAAAATGATGAAACTAATATAAAAATGTAAACAGAAATATATATATAAAAAATAAAAAGTAATTGAACAAAATTACTAAAACTAAAATGAAAGCTGAAAATATAAAAATAATTCTAAATTCAAAATATTGAAAAAAAAAATGCTACAATCCCAGAAAAAAAGGTACAAAAGCTCCCACTGGAGATGGTACCCTTTCAAAAGGTACTAACATGCACCATTTAGGTACTAATATGAACATTTTAGGGTAATAATGTGTACCTTTAAGGTACTAATTCACACCCTTTAGACGTAAAAGAGGTACAAAAGTGTACGTTTTGAAAAGGTACCCTAGTGACAGCTTTTGTTCCTTTTATATGAGTGTATACATAAAGAATACAGAACCAAACAATACAGAATAAAAACAGAACCACAGCATTTTTGATGCAGTATGAAAGTAGCAGTAAGGATTTAAGTATTAAATCCTTGCAGACTCACAACGCATTGATATTTACAATAGTTATCAGTTACAGGACTTACTCTCAAGTTAAAGAAGGGATTAGGTGGTTACCTGCTGGTACAGACATAATGGATCAGCTCATGCCTGCTGCTGTATGAACGGGACAATTTGAGAGTCACACCTGTTAGTAAAGGCAGGTAGTGAACGCTGACTGTGTGAATGCAGCCTTATGATCAGAAAGCATCAAGAAACCTGTAAACTAATGCCAAAACTTGTTGGAAAGCATGCAGCATTTTAACCCTTTCGCAAACGCAACAATACAACTAGCCAGAGACTTTTAACTATACAAATAGAATTGCAGCTTTATTGTGGAGGGAAACAGAGGGGGTTTCAGAGAGGTTCTCCATCAGCATCTGTCCATGTAAAACACCGACCCCACAATCACAAATCAGAACTAGGGAAAATTGGCTACTGTTACCTGGCATTCCAGCGTCCCCGTTGCCTGCACAGGCCCCTCTTTGTGCGGCTCTGACTAAGAAACCTGAAGCGTGGGAAACTCGACTCTCGTTCAGAGACTGTGAGGCCTCCATCTGCGTCTCCTCCATCGTCCAGTAGCCCCGGCGTCACCGCTCACAATGCCCTGCCTACATTCGAACAATAACGGGAGTCAGGAGAGAAAGACTTAAGCTTTGAATCCAACCCTCATTCAGGCCTCCAGGGCTGAATGCATCCGAGCAGCAGGTTTTGGTGGACAGCTGATCAGAGCAGAGAGTGATTAACTGAACAGAGCTGAACGGAGGCATTTGTTAGGGCACTGGCATTTATATTAATAACAAGCTGGATGATTCACAGTGATGATATAAACAAAATTATCTAAATCACCCGAAACAGCCCAACCCATATGGCCCCAGACACACACACACACACACACAAAAATGGAAGAACAATAAACAAAAAAATAGTAAAATATTAAATAAAATTAAGTAAATAAAAGAGAAAAAAAGAGGTCTAATAACAGAAAAAAAACACAATATTAATAAAAAAACAAAGTAAATAAAAAATACACAAAATATTAATATATAAAGGAATATCAAATATATCTAACATTTAAATAAAATAAAATTATCAAAACATACAAGATCAAATAAATTTAAGTTAAAGTTAATAAAAGAAAAAAAAGGGTACTTAATGACATAAAAAGTTATTTCTAATGCTGATGGACGTTAGTTTATACATGCCCTTCATTGTCATCTAATGTTAATTGACTTTTTAATTGTTTTAACAGAATGTCAGAGAAAAACCTCCGAAAAACAGGACAGGAATGTACGTGGTGAACCAATGAAGGACACAGGTATAGTAAAAAACACATATGCAGCTGTGAGCATGACACACTTCTGTAAATAACCCAGCTCAAACTCACACTTTAACTCAATCATTCAGGTTTTCTGGCCCCCAACATTGTCCCTCCTTCCATATGTGAAGAACGAGGCCTGAGGAAACCCTTGTTGGATGTAAAACTGTCATACATCCGGCACTGTACTGCAGGATGTTGAACGGACAGGGAAATGATTTTACATGCCATTACATTGATTTAGAATTTATTTTTCTACTATATACCTTTGCGCAAAGTAATTCCATATGGCCCCAGACACACACACACACAAAAATGGAAGAACAATAAACAAAAAAATAGTAAAATATTAAATAAAATTAAGTAAATAAAAGAGAAAAAAAGAGGTCTAATAACAGAAAAAAAAAACAATATTAATAAAAAAACAAAGTAAATAAAAAATACACAAAATATTAATATATAAAGGAATATCAAATATATCTAACATTTAAATAAAATAAAATTATCAAAACATACAAGATCAAATAAATTTAAGTTAAAGTTAATAAAAGAAAAAAAAGGGTACTTAATGACATAAAAAGTTATTTCTAATGCTGATGGACGTTAGTTTATACATGCCCTTCATTGTCATCTAATGTTAATTGACTTTTTAATTGTTTTAACAGAATGTCAGAGAAAAACCTCCGAAAAACAGGACAGGAATGTACGTGGTGAACCAATGAAGGACACAGGTATAGTAAAAAACACATATGCAGCTGTGAGCATGACACACTTCTGTAAATAACCCAGCTCAAACTCACACTTTAACTCAATCATTCAGGTTTTCTGGCCCCCAACATTGTCCCTCCTTCCATATGTGAAGAACGAGGCCTGAGGAAACCCTTGTTGGATGTAAAACTGTCATACATCCGGCACTGTACTGCAGGATGTTGAACGGACAGGGAAATGATTTTACATGCCATTACATTGATTTAGAATTTATTTTTCTACTATATACCTTTGCGCAAAGTAATTTGTAACTTTTAAAAATGGATTGAATGATAACAGTAATGTGATGTATTAACAGTGATTTAGTGAAAGTTTTTTTTAATTTTTTTTTTATGGAAAATACTGTTTCATGGGGAATAAACCCTAAAATTGTTAGTGACACTGCCTGGTTCTACCATAGATCAAGAGGATGAGTTTTAGTTAGTTTGTGCATTGGGTGACAAATATGGAATAAACCGAACAGAACTAGACTACACTGTGTCACTTCAGGTCAAATTCTTTTTAAAAGCAAAGAGGATAAAAATGTGCCAGGCATTAACTTGATTGAGAAATCAAGATACGGAGTATTTGAACAACAAGAACATAAATGTGTCAGAGGAAGCGTGAGGCAAGGGAAATTCTGCAGACTATCTCAGCGGTCAAATGTAATCGGTGATGAAATTTCATTTTTCCCATATTTCCGTCTCTGCTGTTTAAACTGACCCTGAATTCACACACACAAACTGTTCAGGAAATATCCAATTAATAGGTGTATTTGTCACAATTCATTTATTCTGCATATGGAAGTGTCTGATTATTGGGGGGTTACTGAAACAAAGTGAATGTTCTGCTGGTCATGTGAACAGAAAACAAAAATGGTTTTCCTTTAAAACAAAGCATTTGCAGTTGTGTGTGGAAGAAAAATGTAAGGTAGGTTAATCACTGCACTGCATTAAATCAAATTTGCTATATTTAGCAGAGGGAAGAAGTTTCCACCACCCTACAGTGGACCGAGATGATGTCTCAGTTGTTATTAATAAAATGTTGGATAAACATTCTGATAATTATAAAATCATATTCCAATCAAAACGCTTTTTCTAAGGCCGTTTTGACAACATTTTGATTTGAATGTTGAAATAGCTCCAGTCCAGCAGGTGGTGCTGTCTTCCACTGGTTAAATGGTAACGTACATAGATGAGTCATCAGCTCATCTCAGCATGAGGCTCCAGTGTTTTCAACCACAGTTCTAAGGCAAATTTGGTTCCAGTGCTGACTCGTTCAATGTCCTCGCCATGATCCGGGGCCCGGTTACAGAGCACAGAAACAGGCAGCGAGGTCTCGATTAGCTCACCGTGTGGAGACACCTCTGTCACACTGACGACACATAGAAAAAACGGACGCTCAAAACTATGGAATTAATACTAAGGAATAGTTTATCAAAAAACAAACATTTGTTGAAGATTTACTCAGGCAAGTTGTCTCATCTGAATCATGAGAGAAATATGCACAGATCAAGCACTGTTTATAAGCAAAAACAGTCCAAAACAGTTCATAATCAAATATGTTGTTGATTTTGATGTGACAACAGGGGATGGACTTTTTCACTTGAGGAAGCAATCTTACGGACTATGGACTTGTATTTTGGGCAGATGCATTAGTTAAAAGCCTTATTGATGTTTATGATGCAGCTTTCACTTTACAAGACGTTAAGTGATAGACTGGAGTTGTGTGGATTATTGTGATGTTTTTATCAGATGTTTGGACTCTCATTCTGACGGCACCCATTCACTACAGTGTGAGCAAGTGACGTAATGCAAAATTTTTCCAAATCTGTTTTGATGAAGAAACAAACTCATTAACATCTTATACGGCATGAGTACATTTCCAGCTAATTTAAATTTTTTGGGTGAACTATTCCTTTAATAGAGATTAATGATGTTCTCCATACCTGATGGTCTGTGGCAGCTCAGTTGGTATTTGAACAGAATCCTTCTCACCATCTACTGCAGATACTACAACTTTCACCAGACCTGCATCGACCCACACACACGCACTGACTTCAGCAGGATCAGGGCGCAAACAAGCCTGAGAAAAGAGGACAGAGATCTTATGGCACACATTGACTTCAAATCAGCAGCATTTTTTGTCGTTTTTATGAGTGGATGACCTAAAGTTGTACCTGTAGCTGCAGGTGTGATTGAGAGCTCTTCAGAAGTATGTATGTCACAATGTGATGTCTCTTAGGCAGTCCTCTGGACAGCATGGGTGGATACACTGACTGGACAGACAATACAAGTTTAATACACAAAATGAAATGCAACACCATTCAAAAAGTTTAAAGTTCAAGTTTTTTTTTTTATTATTAATACTGGATGTAAGGATGCATCAAAAGTGACATTCAAAAAAGATATTCATAATGTTACAAAAAAATTCTAATGTTGCAAAAAATGTATTTGTTTCCACAAACATATTAAGTAACACAACTGTTTTAAACATTGATTATAATAAGTAATGTTTCTTGAGCAGCAAATCAGCATATTAGAACGACATCTGAAGGATCAAGAGACACTGAGGACTGCAGTAATGATGCTGAAAATTCAGCTTTGATCACAGGAATAAATTGCATTATAAAAAATATTAAAATCGAAAGCAGTTATTTTAAATCAAAATAATATTTAACAATATTACTGTTTTTACTGTATTTGTGATCAAATAAATGCAGCCTTGTTGAGCATAAGAGACTTCTTTTTAAAACATTAAAAAAAATCTTACTGACCCCAAACAGTAGTGTGCTTGCAGATGTTTTGTGTCATTTACTCATCCTCACATCATTCCAACTTTGTATTATTTTCTTTCTTTCTTCCATACAACTCAAAATGAGATGTTTGGAAAAATGTCCAAACTGCTCTTTTCAAAACAGTGAATGGTGATTTTTACTGCCAAAAAGTTTGATTATATGCAACCGCAACTGATGACATTTGAGAGTTACGGCAGAGGTGAATATTATTTAGTGTTTCAGTCTGCTCCACATTTATTTAGTGTGTGGCTTCAAAAGACTTGTACTTGACTTGTAAAGTCATGTACCCAACTTCTATAAAACTTTTATGGTCCTTTTTCATTCACTTTCCAGGTATGGAAAAGAGCAGTCTGGATATTCTGCCTACATCTTTTGTATTCATGGAACAAATGTAAATAATACAGAGATGGAACAACATGGCGATGAGGACATGGCAACATCAATGGATGAACTATTCCCTTATTGTCTGATATATGTTTGTTTCATGAAAATTCAAGTAAACCCTCTGGATTAGCTTGATTAGATTCACATCTTGAGTCAGCAGTTTAATGTCAATGATTGAAACTGAGATGGACAACAGATGTGTGCAGTGCCCGACTGTTCCAGATTACACAAATACGGTTTGCAAACAATCGGCCTCGATCTGTCAAATTCAGCGTGCAGTCAGTGGCCCCCATGGACTTTGGCTGCAGGTCTCACAAAAACACTGTGCTATAAACACACACCTCCCACAAGCCGAGCAGCTGAGAGGAGATCTCATCAGGGCTCAGTTTCAGACCGGTCTCTTCCTTCAGCTCCCTGAGTCCTGCATCCAACAGCTAGTTTTAGACACACACAGAAATCAATGAGCCATGGTACCGTTCTTTCATTAATTGATTCAGAATATTCGTTTCCTTGTTTAATATGCTAATTATATTACAAAGAATTACTTACAAAAATAAAATAGTAAAACTGATTATGTACACTGCCCAAGGTTTGGGGGGTCAGTAATATTTTTTGAAGAAAATTACATTAATACTTTTATTCAGCAAGGATCCATTAATTGATCAAAAGTGACAGTAAAGTCATTTATAACATTACATTTCTAATGTAACAAAACATTTCTATTTCATATAAATGCTGTTCTTTTGATCTATCTATTTAACAAAGAACCCTGCAAAGATGTATCAGTTTCCACACAAAATATTAAACAGCACAACTGTTTTCAAGATTGATTATAAAAGAAATGTTTCTTGAGCAGCAAATCAGCATATTAGAGTGATTTCTGAAGGATCATGTGACACCATAGACTGGATAATGATGCTGGAAATTCAGCTGTGCATCACAGGAATAAATTACATTTTTAAATTTATTAAAACAGAAAACAGTTATATTACATTTTTAATAATATTCCACAATATTACTGTTTTTACTGTATTTTTAATCCAATAAATGGAGCCTTGATGAACATAAGAGACTTCATAAGAGAAAAAAAAAAATATATATATATAAACATACTGACCCCAAACTTTTGAGTGGTTGTGTGTGTCTATAGATATCTAGCATTAGGATTTTAAACAAATACAAACAGAAGTTTAACAATTTAATTTAATTTAATAAAATAAAATAAAATAAATTAATTTAATTTGTTAAATTAATTTAACAAATTAAAACAGAAAACAGTTATATTCCATTTTTAATAATATTCCACAATATTACTGTTTTTACTGTATTTGTCAATCCAATAAATGGAGCCTTGATGAACATAAAAGACTTATTTTTTTATATATATATGTAACACACTAACCCAAAACTTTTGAGTGGTTGTGTGTGTCTATAGATATATAGCATTAGGATTTTAAACAAATAAAAATAGAAGATAAAAATGAAGAACAAATATTTACAATTCATTATTATTTCTAGGTCCAATAAGTACATTTGTGACTTTGTACAAATATTATTACAAACTTGTGGATTAGAATGCAAAAGATAATACATTAAACATAATATTTATCAAGTGGTCTCAGACATTGGACCCCATTGTATATTAATTATAAAAAATCAATCAATCACAAACTAATTCTCTCAATTTAATTTAAAATTACTTGACAATATCTGTTAATGACTGACTGATTAACTGACTGATTGACAGCGCACTGTTTATGTAATGTACTGTAATTTATGGCAAAGTACCTTTTCATCCAGCTCCACATGGCCACCTGAACAAACAAATTACATCTATTAGTCCTGAACTCCACAGGACTCTCACACACATGCAGGCCACATTTCTGTGGCTGTTTAACTTCAGCCGATAACATCACAGTCTTTGATGGAAAGTACGATTTGAGATTGAGTAGATTAAGAAACCATTTAAAATAACTGTTTAAAATTGTGGTCCTCAGAACCAGACAAAACTGACCAAAATGACCCCACTCGTCTCTAAATCATAAACATGAGCACACACATATGTGAGTGGGGATCTGAGGAATCATTTGGGTCAGTGTGGAATGACACTCACCGGGCGGAACCCAAACATTGGGGAAGATCCGGAGGCTGGAGGCGCGACGCGTTAGCAACAGTCTCTGATTGGCTGACTGCAGCAGCACAGCCACGCCCACGTCTACCCCACGGTTGAGGGTATCTGGGGGCAGGGAGTCTCTGCCTCTGAGTGAGACAGGTATTTGATGGGGCAAAATGCCGCCCTCTAGGGTTAGACAACGAGTTTGATCCACAAATGAAAAACTCCTGGATTAAAGGGATTTAATAACAAAACTCAAATGGCTGTAAAACAACTTCAGTGTGATCTCACCTTCAGAGGAACTCCTCCATCACACATCCTGTCACATAAAATAAATCTGTTATTCTCCAAAGAACAGCTCACAGTTGCCTGATCCTCAACGCTCCCGACAAAGTGTCCAGTTATGCTCTGGAAAAAATGACACATGCATGTTTATACACTTGCTTTGATATAGGACTTATATTTACATATATGATTATTTAAAACAGATCATGATTAATATAATTATTGTATATTTTTTAAATCAAATTAAATAAATCATATAAATAATATACTATACAACAGTATAATATAATAATAATAATATACTATATTATTATATTATACTGTAATATAATAAACAGAACAAACTGAGACAGACTAAATCCAGAAGAACTGTGGCAACGTCAACACCAAGATGCTTCAAGAAACCTACCTGCAAAGTTCCCTGAAAAACTATGTGCAAGTGCACCGAGGGCAAAAGCTGCTTTAAACGGAAAGGATGGTCACACCAAATGTTGATTTAATTTAGTTAATAGAAGTTAACTGATAAAGAAAATCTATTTATTACTTTATATTTATTATTTATTTACTACTACATTATTTTTGACAGCATCCTCATTTTACAGCATTTTTACACAAGTGCCTAAAGCTTTTGCAGGTAGGTTTCTTGAAGCATCTTGGAGACGCTGCCACAGTTCTTCTGGATTGAGTCTGTCTCAGTTTGTTCTGTTTCTTCATGTCATTCCAGACAGACTGGATGATGATCAGATCAGATCTCTGCGTGGAGCACTGGCTGTTGTCAGACTCCTAGTGCAAACAAAAATCTCACAATTAATCACAATTAATGGCAAAATGAATATTTGGAAATGTAAACTGATATTTCCTACTAACACACCACAGCAAAGGATAGAAATAATTGACTTTAAACAATTTTTTTAGCTGGTGAAAATACCAGTGTTCTAATAACTTTGGCCACCACTGTGTGTGTGTGTGTGTGTGTGTGTGTGTGTGTGTGTGTGAATGTATGATCACTATATACATACTATAGCCTATACATTTCTGTAGTACAGTAGAATAGTGTGTGTGTGTGTGTGTGTATAGCTTATTTATTTATTTGTAGTATATATAATTGTTTTTTAAAAAACTATTAAATATATGGTTGTATAAACTACAGTATTTTATCATTATCATTTTATTTATAAATGATAGATAGACAGATAGATAGATAGAATTATTGTTATTGTATATATATTCATTTTATACACATTTGTACATATTTTAGCTCAGCTGACCTGCACGAATCGCGCGCACTGCGGAGCGGCGTTTTCCTTCGACAGATGAACTAGAATCTTTCGGACTTTCTCCATACTGTACGACATCATCATAGAATATGATAATTAAGTTTTTCCCTCGTTATTTGATATATTATACCGTAAAACAAAATATTCATATTGAATTACATATATTACTCATCAGGCGGCGAACCACTTAACTATCCAGGAAATCGTCCGAGCGCATGAATGGGTGTTTACAGCAGAAAGACACTCATACTGTCCAGACTCTGAACCCAAAACCCAGACCATAACAAACACCATCCAAACCGATACTCCGGAAAATGGATTCTGATGTTTCAAAATAAAAGTCCATTTACGCTCCTGTAACGCTCATCTTATGAATATTAACTAGAAACCTTTCCGCAAATCAGGAAAACATACTGGTGTGACGTAATGCTACGTAATACATATGCATGCGCTTCTTCTGCTGTTTTAAAATAAAAGTCTGTTTATATAACCTAGTTTTTATTATTCAAATATAAAACTGATTTCAAAATTATTACACTTATTTCAGATCGTCTAGAGAGGGAATTTACAGTAAAATCCTATAAAAAAAATACAATTCGATTTTTAAAAACTATTTGCAGGACTAAACTGTACTCTCGACAATGATTTGCTGAGAGCTTATATTCATATCTCTGCTGATTTAATTGTGTTCGTGCACTGTGAAAACATTGCTAATGTGACAGCATCAGATTGTGTAGTAAACCAAGTTTATTTGAAATATCATTCAGTCAAATACAAACACAAACACAGCCATGTTATTACATACTACGTTTTCATTTACTACATGTAAAGAGTTCACTGAGAACAGGCACAATGTAAATCTCACATGCTGTCATAAAGACAAAGATCTACAGACACAGAACGGACGACGCATGCTTTCACAAAAGGATTTTACATCACCAAAGTCGAGCCCTTGACTGAGGGTTCAACCTCTGACCTTTAGTCATTAGGGTGTCCATGATTTTGGTCAAAAGTGGTGGCACTTACAGAGTTGGCAGTCATCATAGCTTTCCTGAAGAATCAGTACGGATAAAACGAGATGACAAAAAAGCCAAGCGATGCTGTTTAGTTATTCACTGGTGTTCAAATTCACATTACTCTGCTTTAGAGGAGTTTCACTGAACATGGGCCACATTTATCAAGGCTTTTATTTTGAAGGATTTTTTTTCGTAAGCATATATATAAAATCATTTGGCTTGCTTACAGTGTTGTTACATTTTTATGGTTTCAAGAGCTTTTATTTTCAAATTGCAATTAACAAATATCAACTTGATAAATGTAGCCCCATATGTCCTCATGTGGCTAAAACAAACATGTTGACCGATATAAAGATCCATGCAAAAGGTGGTACAAAATGCTATGAAACAAGACGGAATCACAGAACCTTCTTACCATTCACATTCACCATAATTCCATTTCTGTTTCTGCTATGTACCTAATTTCACATATCCTAAGAACGACAAGCACACTTACCCCTCTAACATACATCGATAACACTGGATTCTGGTCTAGATTTCTGGGTAGACATTTCATGCTAAGAAGCTTCAGTTTGTAAGAGCGAAAATTAATGAGGTACGAATAACTATTAAGCTGAGCATTCGAAATTACAGCAGTCCTAAAGCCTGTGACAGCAACAGCCAAGCAAAAAACGAGATTTGATCCATTTTATTTTCAAAAAATTATTTACAACTTCACAAACGTTTTTTTTTTTGTCTGTAGTTGTGGTTGTTTACCCGTGAGTGGTTTGTAGGTGAAACAGTCCTCTTTTGCAGTTGGTGTAAAACTGTGCTAAAACTGTGCCCTTCTGCTCTGAACGGCTCTTATTTTGTCAGTTTCCGGCATGGATCTTGTTCTGGGTCTGAACGCCAACACCATAATGTTGGTTTGCGGTAGAGTGAGGGATGGGCGTCACCTCCTGAGGCAAAACAGTGAATTGGACAGTCAGTTTCATTACAAATTTGCCTTAAAACATTAATAGATACCTGAAACAAAACATAATTCTCAAATATTAAGAGCAGTCCTGAAATACAAACCTTTATGGCACTAACAGAAAGGGTGTAGACCCCAAAAAGAGACACAACCAAACCAATGACGCATGCTAGCACCAGGAAACCGATCAGTGTCAACAAGATCCCATTCACTAAGAACTGTAATACAAACCACAAATACAATAGTACATTACAGCAGCACTGTTCTATGATAAAACTATATATACAAAGGGTATTTACATGGTAAATCACAATCATATGCAAATAATAATACAAAAAAATATGAATATCCACAGAAAGGGAAAATGGAAAATGTTATACTTCAATTAATCAGACTTTGATATTTGGCCATCTGCATTATGCATAACTTCTACACCTTTTTGTAAAGTAAATATAGAGTATATGTATATATTTAGTTTGCTATAATTACATTGCATTAGCCTATATACATCACATTGTTAATTTAGTATTATTTATATACTATTATAGTATTTTAGATTTTATTTGTATACTTTCAGTTTACATTTGACAAATTTTCTTGTGTAATTTTGTCATTTTAGTTATTACACTATTTCTATTTAGCTTTAATTCGAGTAATTTTAGTAGTTCAGCTTATACTTAATGTATTTAAGTTATTTGCCAGTGCAACATTTTTGTAAGGTTTTATAAGCTTTTCATCTAATATTTATATTTTTTAAATTAATTTAAATAATATAATTGAACGTAAATATATAATTAAATAAAAAAAAGTTTTTATGCTTTTAGTTAACAATATCAATACTGATACATTAACATTAAATGGCCATGCCGCTCTTTAGTTATTGGTATCATCACCTGTCATTGAAAAACCCATATCAGTCGTCCAATAGTCTGAATTGTGCACCAAAGAGAAAAGTTATTCTAAGTTAATAAAAGTTTGTGAGTTCTCTCCTAAAACACTACACTAATAATTGTGCATTACACCAGTCTAAAACTTGGGGAAAAATTGAGATTAGATACATCCTGAACTGAATTGCAGTTTGAATCCAGCTCAGAGTCTCAGGATGTGATTATGGTTTTCCCGCTGCATTGTAAAGCTTGTAATGCAACTCACCTCTTTATGTCCCCCTTTCTCTCCTTCTCCACAGCAAGCCCAAACAGAGTGACGTGGGTCACAACACCACTGAAACAAGCAGGACAGAGCCTGGAGTCACATCTCTCTTTCTACTCACACACACTCAACCACAGTCTGCCGTCTGACAGAGACTGACGTTCAGATCGATGTACAGCTTCCCGATTCCTACTCTCAATATCATCTGCTGTTCTGTTCCACGTACAGGACAGGCAGAAATAAAATGGCCTGAAACCATTGTTTGCCAATGAACAAAGCAAGCAGGCCGGTTGAAGTATAACATTTTCCCACATTCTTGTGTTATTTCAATAACCGAGTATATGATCCGTTTTGTTTACAGTATTTGAAATATTGAGTCACTCGTGGGAATGAAGGTGTCTTGGCTTGAGGATGAGCAGGATGGGGCATCTCTGTTTGTTTACCTCTGTGTCCCTGTAGTAGTACGACTCTCCTCTGAATGGGATGTGTCTGGCCATTAGCCCAAATCCAACAATATCAAATGCTGCTGTTAGTAATTGCAGAACAATGGTTGTCAGCACCTGCGACAAACGAACAGACATGTATTTCAACAATAAATAAAATTCTCATTTACAGTCTTTCAATAATGAACGGTCAAAAATATATTGAAAATACAGATGGTTATTATGGTTCAATAAATCTGAAAATAAAAATAAAACCTTAAAAAACCTTAACTGAAATAAAATAAAATATATATATATATATATATAAAAACTTTTTATTTTAGCTTGTTGCCAACATTTCTCATTTTAATTTAGTTCAAACTGATATACTAAAATAACTAAAACTAAAAAGGAAATAAAAAAAACTTCAGACATTTAAAAACAAAAACAAGTACTAAAAATAAGAAAACACAAAGTTACTAAAAGTTTGATTAAAATAAAAATAAAAACAGATACTGAAATAAAATATATCAACATTTATAATATTAATAAAAAATTTACTATATTAAAATGAAAATGGAAAATATCAAAATATTATATCAAAATATTAATAAAAACTAAGGGTGGTGCGCCGACATACAGCGCCGTTGCACTACGGGCGTCCCAAGTTCGAATCCCAGCTTGAAGACCTTTCCTAATGCTGTCCCCCTCTCTCTCTCCCAATTTGCTTCCTGTCAAATTTAAAAACTATCCTCTCACAATAGAAGGCAAAAATGCCACAAGTAAATCAAGTTAAAAAACTAAGTTATCTCAAGTCAATTATATTATAATAACACTGTTCCAAAACGATCCCATAAAAACAAAACAAACTGAGGAATGTCTGTCAAGTAATATCTTGCAATCTTGCAAAAAAAAAGTGGGCAGTTCTTGGCAAAAATAATATGCAAAGAGGACCTTTGTTGTCAAAAGTTTGATTACACAAGACTACTGTTGCTGAGACTGCACTTAATTTGGTCAATACAGGATGAGGAGGTGCAAGGTCCTTTCTGACGGAGGGACATTAAAGGGATTTAAATGAAGTGAGCAAGAGTGACATGATTTGTAAACACGTTCTAATTTTCAGATGATATTCATATATGTATGTTCATACTGTACCAGACATTTAGATGGCTTCCTCCCAGTGTGCACCAGGACAACACCAGTTATGACAAGCTGTATAATAGAAATAGAGACATATGTCACATGACTGAGTTTAAACATCTTAAATGTATTTGAGTGTGTGTATGTGTGTGTGTGTGTATTTGTACCTGAGCACCGTTGACGATGAGGATGATGATTTCACGCTGGATATGGTAGTGCAGCTTATAAACAATTGAGCTCAAAATGACAGTAAACACTCCCATTATGATCTCAATAGCCTAAACCAAAGCACACAAAATGTTACAATTGTAAACTAACTGCAGTTTTCCATGCTAAATGTTTCTATCTATCTATCTATCTATCTAAAAATAAAACTGTATTTGTTAAATCTACCAATATATAAAAGGCAAATAAATCAAGATGAAATACTTTATTTTCCACCCCAATAAAGTTGAACTGAAATTTAATTGTTTTATCTTGATTTCAGTTTGTCAGTGTGTATCTGTGTTGCATCTCAGATATGGGTGTGTCCTTGGATGTTGGCCAGATGTCATTTATTAGATATACTACATGTGCATTCATATTAAACAAGAGCCTAAATATTATCTTCGAGTGGACAGCACT